ATTATAGTTCATAAAAGATAGCTTGATCTCTGCGACTGCTGTCAGTAAAATCTGCCGAGGTATGCCCATAAAGTATGAAATTTACAGGTTCTGTCTGTACTACTAAAAAATTCAGGACTTCATAGGCGTGATTTTACTGACAGCTATCGCAGAGATCAAGCTATCTATTATGAACTATAGATACTTTCGTGACGTCACTGATCCTGTCTAAGGGTTAGGGGGGATGAAACTTCCATACAAATTCACGAGAATAAAATATGTATTGAAAGTTCGTTCCTCTAGTGAGCGGGGTACATAAACTTGTAGGATAGTTTTCTTAAGCGTTGTAAAGATGGCGTTCATTAGATAAAACTGGGGTTCTTACCTAATGATCCAGAACCCAAAACAAATTGAATTGACTATTAATAGCAATTTTTTATACAATTCGTTCACAGTTGCTGGGTATTTAGTTCATAAGTGTACAAAAATATATAAGAAATGAAACGTGTAAAATGCATAACTACCTAATTATATTTTAGAAAGAGAAGAGACTATAAAAAGGTCCTGTAAATATCCATTGGTGATTCTAAATCAATTGATTCTAAATCAATTGATTGAAGAACCACTAATAAAGAATATATTAATAAAGATAACTCAGAAAACGAAAATATTTTGCGACTTTTCATTCCTCTCCTGTGAAAATCATAATAAGATGTTTTATGATTATTTATCAAATTTCTTCGTCCTCTTCTTCGTCTTTGATATTAATATATAAAAAAATCTTATGTTCAATAGGCCAAGTTTTATTAGTGTTAATGTTATCTACAAAATTTTTATTTGGAGATTCGGGATTATTATTGGAGATATTCTACAATTAGAAATTTTTGTCTTAATGAAAAGATCCGTGGTAGCTCAATTGGATAGTTCTCACCGTAAATTCCTCAGTACGCGAGTACCGAGTAACTCTGGTTCGATCCCGGCCGGCATCAATGAAATTGTTAACTGAAAATATAACTGGTCATTCACCACGTGCTCGCAGCGGTGTCGTGCTTTTTGTAACTTTACTTTTATATCCAATAATTATCTAGTAGATAACATAACCGTTGATAGTAAAATTGTACATTTCAAGCCCAATTATGCTCTGCTGAGTTGAGGAATGTTCAAACATCAAGTAGGTACTTATTACCAACTTTTGTTTATACAAAAACACAATAACAGGTCAGCAGAGTGTATTTTGATAAAACATAGTGTATAATTAATTAATTATAGTGGCTATCATAGTTTAGTTTATCTATAATTACAATAATTAACAATCATTAGTAATAATATCTAAGTTAACGTAATTTATTACAAAATAGGACTGTAATACCCTTCATCTCATGATGTCTTGTTTTGTATAAACGATAGTTTCATTAACAATCATTAGTAACAATATCTAAGTTAACGTAATTTATTACAAAATAGGACTGTAATACCCTTCATCTCATGATGCCTTGTTTTGTATAAACGATAGTTAAATATAAGTCATACTTACATCCAAATGATCTTCACAGAAGAATAGTCTAATTTTTGTAGACAATGTATTCGGGTATCTTCCTGCCGGTTTTAAACAAATATTTCTTATTTTAAAATCAGTTGGCCCTCAATTCCTTAACTTTCTAGTATTTTTATATTCAGGCACATCACAACAATGATAATAGATGATAACTCATTATTAAACATTAAAAAGTATCTTATTCCTTTGCAAAACCGGCAAAATTCTAGGACGTCACTGTCCTAAAATTTTGCATGCATTGTATAGTATATTTTATTGAAATTGGTATGTAGTACCTATTTCACGATGATATGATAATACTATCTAACTTGATAGTAAGATGGTGAAGTAAACAACTGAACAAAAGCGGCAAGCATCAAAAGAAACAACTCTTCTTACCAGATATAAATTATAAAATAACCAGACCAAGAATGGGAAGAATGTAAAAAGTGGAAGTTATTGAAAATGTTGGAATAAGTTAATAAATAAAAATATGCTTTATGTGTGTGACATGAACATTACTCATGATCTTTTGTCTTGTCTATTTTTATTTTATGAACCATTCATTGGGGGACAATATTGGTCATGAGCATAATATGTGAGGTATTCCAGTGATTCTGCCATAATGGCTATATCATCGGCAAATTGAATATGAGTGATGTACTCGCCATTGATGTTGATACTATATCCTTTCAAGTCCAGTGCAGTGCGGAAGAGGTTCAGAAATATAACACCACCTTGATTTCACATTTTTGCAATTGTATGATGTATAGTTTTCGTAGTCCGGTTCACTAATTGGATAATAGACATGGTAAACTTACACAGTCAACCTCGCACTGCGGAAGAGACTAATTTGACGGAATCCAAGCTACTTTTCCCACATCCAGATAAAATTGTATCACCAGGCTTATCATATTATTGCAGCTTTGAAGCTGCCCCTCACCCTGTATTTAACATCTGTCGGAGGCTATGATATATTCTTGCCTCAGATGAAGTAAAAAAGGTAGATATCGCACCTAGAATAAGAAACTGTAACCAATTTTATAACTATGTGTGGTTCGGAGAAGTGTTGCCACTTTTGCGAAAAAAGTCCCCGAAAATTGAGATGAAATACTACAGATATAAGAGTAATATTGAGTATATTAATTTTAAATATAAGAGTAATTTATACGTGTTAGAGCCATGCTGCAGTTATATTAGTTGCATAGCTGTAGCACGAATGGGTCGGCTTGACCGGGGAAGGACCACGCTCTCACAGAATACCAGCGTGAAATGGTAGCGTAATGCAGCGGAATGCTGTTGTGTTTTCTATGGTGAGTATAGAGAACCGGAGACCCTTTTGTACTGGAATCGAGGCATTCCATCTTATTCCTCACGGGACAACGCATCTGCATTTTGATTCGTAATCGAGGATAGATGTAGATATCTTACGGCCACACCAACCACTTACCAGGTGGACTGTGTGCTTGTTTGTCACCCTGTCCTACAAAAAAAAATGCGAAAGTAAATCTGTCTGTTTAACTAAATTTCAATAATTTGATTAATTAGAAAAGAGATGGTGAACGTAGGAGGCGTCTGTAAATCGTGTAAGAGCGTGTAAGCATCGAGAAAAAAATATAACATATGGAATGTAAAACATGTTTATTATAAAAAATAACCTAATATTCAAAAATCGTAAAAAAATTTGTTGAAATAAAAAAAAATCGATGGAATTATAAAAGTAAATAAAAAGTAGTACAAAGTCCAGCCCTGGGCACAAAAGAGTGTACTAATTTGTACCCCGGGTAGGAGAGATATGAAGTATTAGCCGGCGAAAGCACCCGAGTTTTGGTTAAAAAGAGCAAGGCCGGCTTTGCCGTCTCCAGATTGTTTTGGACAGCGTTAAAATTGGAATGAAGTCTCCTGATGTCGCAAAAATTCACGGAAAGCGTGACAGGGGTTGCCTTAGTCTTATCGCTCCGCTTGCCCCTTCTCGCGTCTTAGTCGCGAGCGGAATGTCACCCCCCCCTCAGAATACGCGGGGCAGCCTAAGCACTCACGCTCAGGAAAAGTAAGATAGTTTGGTCGTGGTTTCGAAGTGAGGGATTCTCCGCCACCAATGGTGCTGGTACCCTCGTGGGGTAGTTTTTATTTGATTCCGCTACGATTTTAAGGGAGGGGGACGGTGATTGAACCTCCGACCACCTACACTTACCAGGCAAAACGCAGAGGTAAGCCTCTAGTTCATGGTGGTATTCTGTGAGATCGTTTTACTACCCCGGTTTGACAGTAAAAGCTGGTGCGTGGCTAAGGCTGTTCAGAGTTCAGTTCAGAGGATGGCTTCCATTTTGGTTCATTTCAGCTTAGTCTTCTAGCAACTACCCTTCATTCATCTCTAGCCATGCATACTTTTTCTGCCACAAGGGCGCCGCGCATGGCACTAGGCATGGGTCATTGACGGTTTTTTTGTTCATGTCATTTAACTGTAAATCATTAATGGTCAACAGGTAAAAAAATTGTTAAATAAATAACAGATTTGAAACTTTAATCTGTAGCGTTGATCGTCAATTTAATATTTCAACGTTTTCGATCAATAACAATTTTGTTGCAGATTATGTTGAAGTTATTTATTTGATAAGAATAAATTTTTATCAAGAGATTACTTTTATGTTTATTGAACTGGTCTGATAAACTTGATTTTAACAATGAAACTATATCATGGCCATTTTATGTTCGATTTCCTTTCTTTCATATCTTCTTATAAGATTATATCAGGCAATATTTATTTATATATGATATATGTTATAGGTCATTATAACATAGCCGCCCATCAAATATTTATGTCCACCCATTGTTCTTGTGACCTCTTCGAATGGTTCCAATACCTTTCATAACTGTTGGTAGGTGGTCCAATCTTCCGAAGTGTTGTTGATTTGTTGAAAAGTTGGCAAGTCTTTCTCTGCGAGCTTTTCTTATGTTAGTCAGAATTCGTTTTATATTGTTTATTTATCTTTGGCAGAGTAAACTTGAGTTTTTACGTCCCGCTGATAGATATTATTTTACGGTAAAATTAAAAAGTTGAAAAAAAAAGCTAAACTTAAAAACACTTCACACTAGACCGCGTAATGCAAACAAAACAATTTGAATTTGAATTTTAACCTTGACCGAAGCTCATGGATTGTTTACACACACTCAATACAAAGTCATAATAAATAACAAATGTACTTTCTTCACTCGCTCACGCTCACACACGAACGGACAAGGCCGCCTCCGATGCATCGACGCGACGGTGTTCGGTAACCTTCGGAAGTAACAGAAAAAAAAGAAAGTAATAATATAATATTGAAAAAATTCGTTAAGTGCGTTGGCATAAATTGACAGTTAATATTTTCAACCTGTTTTTTCATTAATGACAGTTAACACGTTGACGAATGAAAAGCCGTTGAAGAAAACAGTTTATTGATTCAACGCCCACTTCTAATTACCACACTATTCTATTATTCTACAGAGAATTGCGCACAATGATCGACAAAATGGAAATAATGCGCCGTGTGTTGTTAAAGCTTTTAATGGTCAGATCTGCAAGCCACGACTGGCTGGCTGATCCTCATCAAAGATATGCCGCTTTGAAGCTAGCAAGAGAAGCCAACACGGTGGATGAATACATAAGGGATCATAATTCAGACCTTGATGATTGATTGTTTATTTTAAGATTTAAATTTTAAATATAAGTGTCAATTTTTTGTCTGTATAATGTAATTTTTTTTAATATTGCCAGATGTCAAATATTTTTTCCCTTTTCTATGCCACTGAAACCTAGCCTAACTCTAAACTTATTGAATTAATGACTACTCCGTGGCGCAGTGGCTTACCAATGAGTGGCTGCGCTGGGGGTCGCGGGTACGAATCCCGCACGGAACAAGTATTTGTATGGACTACAAATAGTTGTTCCGGGTCTGGATGTTTGTCCTTGTGCAATTTATGTTTGTAAACTGCCCCTACGATACAAGAGAAAATCTTAGTGTAGGGGTAACGTTAAAAAAAAACAGAAATAGAGAAAATAGGATAATAACAGACGCCTCTTCAAACACCGCTCACTTGGCAGTATGCGCGCTCTCAACACTCTTTATTCTATCCTAATGTCTCCGGTTTAACCTAGGAAAGAACTTGAATCCTTAGCTGCCTCAAGGAAATACTTTCAGTTTCTGCTCCAGTCATGATGGAAACTTTCGATGAACAAACAACCTTCTACTTCTGAAAATCACTTATTGGGTTTTATGTCAAAAATTTCTCAGTAGCAGCCTGGAATCCGGAATTTGGCGGTGTTTCTTCACTCCGTGACACTGGACTATGAAAATGAGACAATAGAGAGTGCACGTGTGCTTGCGCATACACTTAGGCACTATAATCCAGTCCTGCGTAGATTGCTTAGTCTTCGTTGAGACTAGCTGCCGTGACCGAATTTAGGTCTGAAGGACATTATTATTATTATTACGTACATTCAGTAGTTCTTGCTCAAGGGCGGCGGTAGTCGCTGTCATATGAACCGTATACTCGTTTGCGTTTCGCCTCTCTTGCAATACAATGAAATTTTGGACCTTTAACCTAATAAACTTTATTAATATTAGTTTTCTATTTAATAAAATATAAAAGTCCCGTCCCTCAGAGACTATTCTGATTCATGGTAAGTGGTGATGTAGCCGAAGATAGTAAAGCGAACAGACTTGGCTCTCTAGCCTCGAAGGCTCCCAAACTGTAATCAGATGGGAAAACATCTCAGGGACAACTATTTAGAAGATCTTTCATGAAGTGCTAGGGGTGAGAAAGCTAATTTGCCGTTGGATCCCGCATTTGCTTTCCGACGATCATAAGGCGACTTGCTCACACAGATGGTGTAAGAAGACTATTCAAGGTTCAACTGACGACAGTCAAATTACGTCTACGACATCATCAGTGGTGAAGAATTCTAAACAACAATCTACAATCTGGGTCATCCAAGACGAGCCCACGCCGACTACATTTGTTCGCTCTCGAAGCACTTCAAAGAATATTTTGTCCCCCTTAATTGCGTCCTGTCATGTAGCGACGATTGTACTTGAAGATCGTAGAACGGTTAATGCGTGGTAGAGCCATGCTGCAGTTATATTAGCAGTATAGTTGTAGCACGAATGGGTCGGCTCGACCGGGGAAGGACCACACTCTCACGGAATACCAGCGTGATATAGTAGCTTAATGTTGTTGTATTTCGTATGGAGACTGTAGAGAACCGGAGACCCTTTTTACTGGAAACGAGGCATTCCATCTTAGTCCTCACGGGTGACAACGCATCTGCATTTTGATTTCTAATCGAGGATAGATGTAGATGTCTATGGGCCGCAGCAACCACTTACCATCATGTGGACTGTGTGCTCGTTTGTCACCCTAACCTATAAAAAAGTTGTAAATCTAACCCAAAGCGACGCATCATACTACACCATGACAACACAAGCTCACACAGCGCTGGTTAATCGATTGAGTATTTAAAACAGGAAAACGTAGAAATTCTCGCCATCCTCCATACAGTACTTACCTAAGCTCTAACGATTTCTTTACATTTCCTAAAATTAAGAAATATTTTCGTGGTCAAAGGTTTCAGTCTGGCGAAGAAGCAAGGTCTACGCTTTCATAACAGCCATGTTGTACACCTCCAGGAGTGAAATAAATATTTTAATAACTGATTTGAGCGAATGGAAAAGTTTATTTAACTATGTTTCAGCAGGTTCGCCATATTATTGCAGCTTGTAGGTATTTTGTCTGCTATTTTTAAAATATTGGATTTTCGATATATCAAAAATCCAATATTTTTAAAAATATCAACAGTTTTAGTTTGAACTTATCAGTTGGAATGATCAGTTGAACTGACCGTGTGTGGCGAACATTACACTAACTCTGAGAATTGGAATGATAATTTATTATTATTACCTAATCATTTATTTTCAGACGCAGGTCCTTCCTTATATGTTAGTACAGAAACAAATTTTCTTACTTGCTATGTGAGTAAAAACTCAACAAAAACAACACAAATTTATCAATATAGAGACATTATTTTATTCGTTCATATTATTGATTGAGCAGTTTGATAAAGCAAGCCCGGCTTCTCGGCTTCTATGGAGGCTTCGCCACTGGGGCCTATGGCCGAATAGCAGCATAGTGAGGCCGATTCTTACCTATACCTCCACTATCTGGTGTAATAAGGCCAACTAAAAGACGACTGCGGACAGACTAAATAGTCTACAAAAAACTGCCTGCTTAATGGCAACAGGAGCTATGCGACCATCGCCTGGAGCGGCTTTTAACGCACTTCTATGTCTAACGCCCCTTGATGTTTATCTAGTCAAAGTGGCGAAGATAGGACTAACGCCTAAGGCGGTCTGAGCTTGCTCTCCTACAGATTGAGGTCCATGCTCGACCAATTAAGGAAACACCGGTCTTATGGATCCATGCTCGACCAATTAAGGAAACACCGGTCTTATGCATGATCTCAGATATCATGCGTCCACTTACACTGTCTGTCTGTATGTTCGTTATAGAAACAAAAACTACTCGATGCGTGATGAAAAGTATACTACGTATACTTTTCATCACGCTACGATCAATAGGAGCAGAGCAGTAAAGGGAAATAATAATAATAATAATTTATTTTATTTTGATAAACTGTACAAATTATTCCAATAAGTGTTAACTTAAAAATAGTCTACAATGACAGGCACCTGAACTAGGATAAACCTGTATCAGGTGTATGTGCTAAAAGATACATTAACAAATATTTTCTGTTTCTTATATAAAATGAATAACGTACTAACTAATAAGGGTTATTTGGGTAAAATATATCATCATTGATTTACTTATGATATTAATTAACTTAAAACAATCAGCAACTTCTCCGTATCATCGTATGACAAATTTTGTAACCATGTTCGAATTACCTTTTTTACAGTCTGTCATTTTTAATGGATATATGTACAAAATTGCATTTACTTGATTATACAAAAAAGGACCGAGGAATGTAAAAAATCTATGCATGAAATAATGCCTTATTCTAATGTTAGTTTTAATTACTATATCTTTGCGTCTTTTATCAGTGACCTCTTTTCTGTAGGGCAATTTTAAGTGCTGTTTTAGTAACTTACTCATAACGAATAACTGGCGCACTGAGAGGATTTGTATAAGTGATGGGATGGAAATAGAATAGGGCGGAATGTTGCAACTTTTAATACAGCTCTTTGAGCGCGTTCCAGTGGTAGCAGTGTAGTTTTAGCTGCTCCACCCCAAGAGGTTATTCAATAGGTAAGTATTGACTGACATAATGCTTAATATACTTGTTTTATTACCTTAGTATCAGCAAAAGAACGATTTTTTTAAAAACAAACATTAGTTTACGAACTCTATTGCATAGGTGGTTTATGTGGTTTTTAAATGTAAATGTAGAATCTATAATTATTCCAAGGTACTTAATAGTTTTTGTATTAGAAATGACTGGGCAGTAACATTTAGACTCTGTGACTGAGTAACATTGATGTGCATAAATTTCTGAAACGGTTGTATGCTGGGTTGAGCTGCGCATAGAAAAATGAATATATTTGGTTTTGTCCGTATTTAGTGTTAATATGTTTTGTTGGAGCCATTTATTAACTCTATCAAAACTTTGCTGAGCATATAAATAAACCTTGTCCACTATATTTGCGGAAATAAGTAGCACGGTATCATCTGCGTAAGATATTAGTTTACCTGAGTTAAGTTCAAGATTGCAAAGGTCATTTATATAAATCAAAAATAGGGTTGGCCCTAATACACTTCCTTGAGGCACGCCAAAATGAGTATTTTTTTGTTCAGAGCTAACATTCTTATCGATTTTTATGTATTGATATCGATTTTCTAAATAATTATCAAAAAGTTGAAGCTGCTTACCTCGAATACCTATGTTCTCTAACTTATTTAATAGGATAGGAATAGAAACCGTATCAAATGCTTTTGCAAGGTCAAGGAAAATGCCAATTGATTGGTTGCCTTTATCTAATTCTTGAGAGACGTAATCGGTCATTTCCTGCACAGCATCAGCAGTGGACAGTTTAGGCCTGAAACCATATTTCATATTCGATAATATGGATTTGCTTTGTGAATAATTCATTAATCTGTTGTTAATTAATTTTTCTAATATTTTAGACGTTGATGAGAGTATCGAGATAGGCCGATAATTGGAAACGTTTTCTTTGTTCCCCGATTTGAATACTGGAACTACAATTGCTTTTTTTAAACAATCTGGGAAAATTCCTTCAGAGAGACAAATTCTGAAAATATGGGTTAATGGTGGTACTAGAATTTGTCTATATTTTTTTAATATACTAATGGGTATGCCATCTCATCCAACCGCGCTTGTTTCTTTCAGTTCCATTATAATCCTTTCCACCTCACTAGGGTCCGTATCTAATAATGTGAACGAGCTTAATTGGCAGTTTTTTTGAGTTAAGAAAGTGGCCCTGTATTCACGATTATTGTTAGAATTTTTTGTTATCTGCTCAGCCAGATTTTTACCAACATTCACAAAGTAATTATTTGCTGTATTTGCTGATATAAGCGGCGAGGAATTATTTTGTAATAATTCTGACGAAGATTCATGCTGTTTGGAAATAAATGCAATATCTTTTACATGCCGCCAAAT